TGGTTATAGTCTTTCTTTTGCAATTTCAAAATATTTTTCTGCACGATTAATTGATCGTGCCACCCCGTTGCCAGATTAAAATGAAGTTATCTTTTCAGTTTTAGATTAGCTAATTAATTAGTTTTCTTGTTCGTCCCTCCCAGTCCATCTAACCATATGGGGTATGTTTACTCCTTGGTATGCAGCAGTACCAAATTACCATAAAAAAAATGAACTAGTCGTAGGGGGATTGTTTTTCCCAGTGGCCGATTCAAACCTTTGACCATGACAACAGTGCTACTTCCCACTGCGCCATACTTCCAGCTTCAAGCAGTGTAGCACTTTGTAATAGATGATGCTTATCCCCTCTCCCTTAACCTCCTGTCCCCTACTCTCCCCCTCCCGCACCCTCCCGTCTATAAACGATAAACGGTGCCAGTGGATATTACATTCCTCTTAGTTTATTAGAAAGATTGGTTCGAGACTCTTTTCTCATTTACTGCTTGTTGTTCCGAAATTATTTTAGAGTGGTGTTCCAAGAGTTAGCTTGAGGGAAAGTGATGAGGGAGAGGGGAAGGAGTCGCTGAGGAAAATTTAACAATTTCTTTTCCACTGGAATTGAATTTTTCTTTTTTCCTACGTTAGTTCAGCTGTTCAACGAAAGCCACCTCGCCCGTCGTTCCCCTTGCATTTATTAGCTCCAAATTGTTTTCATTTCTGTGTGTGTTCCTGGAAAGAGGCAATCAATTGTAGCCGATACTGGGCGAGCCTTTCATATCCCTTATTCAGTTCAGCTTGACTTATTAGGCTGGAATGAACCATTGCTACTCTGGCTGTTGCTACGAAGGAAGCAGAGGCAGTTTCTCCCTACCCAGCTCGATCCAAACTTTCTTTTTTTGCAAAGAAATTGAGGCTTTTTTGGGCAAATAGTCCTGCTGTCAAGTCTGATTAGCAGTCGATTCTCTTGTTTTCTGCATAACTTGTGAAAGCCATTCAGTGAAATCACTAACATAGCTTCCCTTACTGATAACCCAAACGGTCTTGGTCCTTGGTGTGCGGCATGAGCTGCTGGAAAATAATCGAATTATGCAAACTTGTGATCAAGGTCAAGGTCAATGACGCCTGTTGTTGCCTTTGAAATGCTGTTTAATTTTTGATTTTTTTTTCCAATTTTAGATTTTCCCCTGGGTATCACTGATTTTGCGAGGAGTCGTGGAGAAAAAAGAATGTGAGGGGAGGAGGTGAGGATGGGAAGGAAAACGAACCGAAAGTCGAACGAAGCGGCAGCGCGTCTTTTTGCTGTCCGTAACTTATGCTTCCACATCAACAACTTAGCCAAATTGCTTTCATTTGTAATTGTTTTTACGCTTTTGGAACGAGCCAAAAAACACTTTATGGCTACCCTTTGCTTTCTCCATATACATATGTAGGTATCTTTCTTTAGTGATGTTTCAGCACTCACAACTTTGGAGGACCAAAACCTGGAATCGCGGGAGAACGATCCCTGACCGTGACCTGGCACATCGTTGGCGGGGTACCTGGGCACTGCGAGTTACCAGTATCCTCTTCGGCGATCTATTGAGGAAATTGTACCTTTGTAGATATGAAGACCGAGAAACTGATTTATATCAGCATTTCATTTTTATTTGTAATGGCAGATAGACCCATAAGTACAGGTAGAAATGGGGGTTATCAGTACAGCCTCCTAAAGACCGTCTGTATGATGTATTTGTTACTAAAATTCCCAAGGAGATTTGGACGATAAGGAGAGAAAAAAGATTAAGAAAGGGACAACGCTAAGGTGTTGAAATAAGGAGAAAATGAGCGAGGCGATTTACCAGAAAATGGACTTATATGCAAAAATGTATCCCGTGTTACTTCGTGCGCTCACGTTTTAGTAGCAGTTTAAGTTAGAAATGTGAGATTGTAATAATGCACAGAGCCCAGAAATGTTTGAAATACAATTGCTTGTGGCTGATGCACTGTTTTGTGCGCGGCAGACTGTTGCACTGCGTCATTGCTTGTCCGTGAAAAGGAAGTAGTTAGAAAAAGATCAGAAAAATTCCAAAAGTTGTTGTCCCTGCCTGATACCTAAGCTGTAATACGTGACGAAGCATAAGATACGCGAGACGACGGGGTTTATCAGTACAGTCTTCATCCCGCCACATAGTAAAATGAGAACAAAAAAAAGGAGAATAGAAGAGGCAAGTAAATGATGAATAAAAGCGGACTTTCATGCAAGAAATACTGCCCTACTCTTAAGGTTTTTTTTTTTTTCGAATTTTATACGCCCGCTGTACAAATGTTACAAATATAATGTATACGTGGTAAAAAAAAAATAGGATTTCTGCTATAGAACAGGCTCAAATACAGGCACTACGCAAATATATTGTTTAAATTTTTACAAAATACTTGATAAATTCCACGTCGTATATGATCTTTGGACGATATTTGCTGAGTCGACAGATATTTTGAAAATGTGCGCGGATATGTCAGTGTTTGGTACGTGGTACCGTTATATTTTTGTTGGTACGCTGTATTTTAGGAGTAATTAAGCAGTTTAGCTTTCTCGGAAAGAAAGAGGAAAGTTGAACTGTACTGCAAGGAAAGGAGATTTGATTGTTGGGAACTTTTTGTGGTCCTCAGTCTATTTTGTGCTGTATTTGCATTGCCTGCACTGGCACACTGGGCATGTTGTATGGGTAATTTGTGGACGAAAGCTAAAACTGAAACAATTCATTTTTGTAAGTTATTTTCTTGAAAAAAAAGTGAAAAAACGTATTTTTCCAGTATTTGCAAGCCATGATATTCCGAAATACGAACACTCAGAGGTTTACATCGCTACTCCCTCCGGAGCACTCCCTCATTGCTCTCCCATTGATATCCATGGATCAATCCCTCATACATTTCCGTCGACTGGACTGTTGTTTATCGGATCAGTTTTTGTGTTGAGAGCTTGACAGTACGCGAGAAGTTAAAGCAGATCGTGAAAAGCCTAATGTTTCGGGGGAAAAATATTTCCTGAAATTGGAGGTAGCAGTTCAAGGAACCAGAAATTTAGCAGTTCAACGAACCAAAAGTACTAATCGATTCCTGGGATACCTTTTGCATTTTTGTGAATCATACTAATGATGTATTAATTTACTGCCTCATAATGAGAAAAAAAAATTTACCAAGAGGGCGGTATATTTGTTTTATATCAAATGCTAACTTACTTTTTAGACTTAATCAGAATTAAAAGCGCTATTTAAAGAGCAGTTATTAAAATAGATATTGAGTGAATGACGCTAGTTAAACAGAAGGGTATACAACATAATGGACCGAAACATTCCTTGTTGGTTATTAATTCTAATTCTTGCCTATTCTGTCTTCTTATATTCTGCATTTGCAGCGCATTATCTTAAATGGTATAATATTTCGTAATTTAAATAATTGCATCTACTATTAAATTATTTTTATTATTTGGTATTTTGATTTATCATAGTTAATATTATTATTTTATTTTTTTTTACTTTGACCCTTTATTGTTGTCACTAATATTATCGTTATTATTTCACTACTGCTATTTTTATTGTGCTTTTAAAACCCATAAAATTAAAATATTTTTATTTACACTCTTGTTCTTAATGGCTAAAAATGGGGTTTACTGGAAATATTAGAGGCTAAAACCAATAATAAGTTAAGATTAAGATGTTTCGGTCCATTAAGCTGTATACGTCTTGTCTCAGTACTACAGCTGAACCTCGTCAGTACAACGTCTGTGGCGTAAATTGTATTATTGTTATGTAACGGAAAAAATAAAGATAGAGATTAATAAGTATGTAAGATAGGAAAGGATTGGGAAATCAAGCAGAGACCTCGTTAATCTCTTTTTTATCATAACAGTAATAATCTATGCCACAGTTCATAATTGAAGAGCCTCAGTTTCTGGCATCTTTTCCAGGAGGGCAATTATTCGATTAATAAAGTTGTGCTGCTAAGTACAATGAACATACGTGTATAGATATCTAAGAGATTTACGAGAAACAGTGGAGGGACACAAATAAGAACTTAAAGTGCCCTCTTTAATTACGCTCCGCTTTTCTTTCTCTCACTCTTCCGGTGAGGTACAGGGTGTATTTTTTACAAGTCTAATGAATTGAAAGTTATCTGGGGATTTCAAAATGTCCGCTCTGCATTTCTAGACTTAAAATCTGTAACTTATGCATTGGGGACACAAATTTCTGGATATTTGAGGTACTGGCATCGACAATGATTCTTAAAGGCATGGGAAACTAGATAAGCTTTTGTTACATGCAAATTATACGTCAAAAATATTAACAGAAATCTGATTGTTTACTCAATTTTAATAATGTTTTACTTATCCTGGGAGGGTTTCTGGAGCAAATTCTTTTTTTTTTTTTTCAGGGAAACTTTCATGGGCGTTTTTGGGATAATGATGAGGTAGCAGCACCATCCATTTGGTTATCTTGAAGGCTCTCATCAATATTTAATTGGTAGTTACTCACTGAGCTTAAGCAGTTAAAGAGTAAATACTAGCTTATCTAATGGTGCATGAATAAATAATTTAGCTAAGATTGGCTGTTCGGCCCGTTAAACTCTATACGTCTTAGCTTAGCGCCAAACTGGAGCTTCTCAAGACCAAATTATTATAACAAATAATTCGCGGCGCGCTCCAGGTGAGCCGGTGCGATTATGCGCTTTTGCACTAGTTCGTGCTGCAATGAGATAGCTTGGGCAAGATGCTTCTGCCTTACTGTTTTGAGTTTGGGTGTGTTTTGATATGTTGCTTTGCTAAGGCAAAATATTTGTAGTTTTACGTCTAAATTTTTTAAATAGTGCTATTTTTATTAAGCCTTGTTGCAATGAAAAAGAATGAGAGGAGTAGTCACCACGTAAAAATCCTGGCAAATATTTAGGGGACGGAGGGAGGAGAAGATTGTCCACAGCAAATAAGATCTGATATATCCAAGCACGAGATATGAGCCTTAAATGCCAGTTTTATGCATACGGATTCAAAAATGAACAACGGATATCTCCATCAAAGCAAATTGCTCACGTATTCTGAATTGCGAGTTAAGTGGATGCCAACAGTGCTCCTTTTGGAAGTACTACCTGCTCATGCACAAGGTTTAGACGTGTGTTTATGATGAATTTCTAATGTCCCTGTCACGCATCATCATATTCCCAGAAAATTTCAGCTTCCTAGCTCAATTAGCTTTCGAAATTGCGTGAAGCAGGTGTACGCGAGTGCCCTGTTTATGTATACGGACTCACAAATATACAGCAAATATTCTCGTAAAATTGGAGAGGCTTGCTCAGCTTTGTTCCTAACTTGGCATCTTGCCAGTTGCGAAATTGCAGCTTTGATATGTGAGTGCTCATGACGTGTTTGAGCTGAACTTAAACTCCTGGTCACATAAGGGCACAGAGTGTTCTTGCGAAGCTTCAGCTTCCCAACATGCTTGGTCCCCGAAATCGCTTCCCCGCCAAAAAAATTTGTGTGAATTTTCTTCCGTAAGTGAGACCCAGGCATAGGAGAACAGTGATTTCAAAGATGGAGCATCGTATATGGAGTGGGAATACTCCAGAAAGTTCAACTTCCTAGCTTCATTGGTTGATGAATTGAAAGTGGGCGACGAAAATGCGAACACACATACACACTACTCGTCAATATATGCTTTTACATTTGCATAAATGTGTAAAAACGCATAGAAATTAGAGATTAATAAGATAACAGTAAAATGAAATTGTATGGGAGGAATGACAATATCGTGTTAATTTACAAATTTCTAGAATGCTTTCTGTTTATCATCATCTCACTTCTGCGCAGTATGTTTCCACGGATGGGTCATTTGTACTACAATTCTTACACACTACTGCATACACAACTGAGCTCAACTTACCCGCAGGAAGTGCCACCATACACGCTTGCCGTGAAGGACAAAAGAAGAAACTGGCTCAAAATGTGCTTTGGAAGGGGGAAGGGGGAGGAAGAGTGTGACCAGGTGTGGTCACTTAGCTCAAGTATACTCAGGTCATTCTCAGCTTATTACGTGAAATATTTAGTTGAGAGAACGTGTCCTGCTGCAGTGAACGAACAACGAGGAAAGAGCATCACCGCTGAGCGACTGCAGCAGCAACAGCAGCAGGCCGAATGTACGACTGCTTCTTCAGTTCCGCATGCTTTCCGTTTTGTTGTACGTCAACAACCTACAACACTAAGGGATGTGGCATGTCAGTGTGGTGGTAATGATAGTGAACATGCTGATGATGATAACGATGGTGATAGCGGCGACAGCGAGGGCGACAGTGGTGATGAAGAAAACGACGGTCTTCTGGCTTCCTGTGGTCCATCAGCAAATTTACCTTTTAAAATCAGCACTGCCTGCAAAAGGTATGTTGATAAAGGAGTGAGTGATCAATTTGAGTTTTTTGAAAAAATTAAAATACCCTTCATAATTCACTTACGGAGTGAGACATTGGTAGTGGCCAGACTGATATTATGTGTCAACATCTGCTGAGCAGCAAAAGTACCATTCAGTAATCCGCTTTGCCCATCTGCTGTCTCTTATTCTTACTACATGATCAGCTTAATTTTTCCAGACGTCTAGGAATTAGCGTTTTTTAAAAAATACAGGGTGTGTGGGAGCGTCCCAGGCAACTTTTTTGCTAAGCACTTTTGATAATTTTGCTAGTTTTGGCGAAAAACATTTAATACTGCCAAATGGAATGTTGAAATAAGGAATTATGGACAAAAGTCAAAGTGGCTTTACTAATTTTTTTGTCAAAAAATTGCCTTTTGCCACGGCACTTTTGATCTAAATCGTTTGATTAGGCAATTGTACAAGAAACAGTTGCATCAGCATTTCTAACCTATGTAAGAGGCTCTTAATCCAGGTGGTTGTTCCCATTTATTGCTCGCCACAACTTTTTTCCTGGAATTTGATCCAGCTGGTATGCGGCATTCATTAAAGCGCGTTTTTGTACGAGGACCTTCAGTGGTTGTCGGAGATAAAGGCTTGGCATTAGGCCTAGCAATTTCGGTACAGAGTATTTTGCGTGTTTTTTGACTTAGCCTGGCCTGACGAGCTGGGATAATCGTTTTTTCAGGATTTTTCGTGGACAAAAACCAAAGTGGCTTTACTAATTTAGGCCTCTTAGCTTAGCGTACTAGACCTGATGATTTAGCATCATTGTTTCCACGGTTCCATTGATTTGGTTTGCTTTTCTGACAAGATGTCCCGCAAGTTTTCGTTTTTTACGGTTGCTGCATTTTTTGTTTGCATGTTTGTGCCTCCGGAAATGTTTGTTTTTGTGTTCCTCTATTTTTTACTGCACTTTGTTTAATTTTATTGTTTCTGTATGTTTTTTTGTTTTTAAGACCGGTGGTAACGTTTCGTTCGCCATTAAGTCGCATGAAACTGTTAAACGAGCTGGAAACTGAAGCTGCACCTCTGCTTGCTGGCACATTTGCTGATACCCCTTTAACTACCCTGATATCATCATCATCACCACCATCATCGTCAACATCACCACCAGCATCAACAACAACAAGGGCAGTGGCGAACACAGTCAGTCGTGAACGTTCAGTCGGTTTTTCTGGACTGCTTCAGCCGAAGAAGCATGCATATAGCATTGCTCCAGTAGTTGGGGAGTATGCAGTGGTACCATCATCATGTTATGATCTCATCGAGCCAGTGGTTCGTGTAAGGCGTCTTGCGTTGCCACGAAGCGCTAGTGATTCCAAAATGAGCACCAAAACCAGGCGACAACCGAAACTGGTATTTGCCACAACACGAGCACGTGGCTCACGTTGTACAGCTACTGACGAATTAGGTCGTTTAACTGCAGATATTGCGGCCGAGAATCCAGATATGATCCATTTCCAACAAGTACTCAATGCATGGGTGAGTTTTTTTTTTGTTTTTTATACACTTAACTGTTTCTTTTTTTTCACACACTTATTCTCCGAATTGTATGACTTGGATTTCATAATTAACATTTGTAATGAGCGATAAATTATCTCTTTCTGAACTACCGATGCTGCTTCCCGAATTTTCTTATCAAGTTATTGTTAGATTTGTCTTAGAATATAAAACTGTTTGTTTTTCTCTGCGCCAGAAAAACATCTGTTCATTTAATTTTTTAGTGAAATCTTATATTTCTTTTATAGACTTTTAAAAAAAGAGGTAAATAATATTTCGCACTGCATGTTTTTCCTCCTGCTAATTGAAGTTAATGTAATCACATATCCTTTCCGATATGCAGAATCTTAAAAAAAAGCCTACTGCTGATTTAGTGCTTCGCCCATTTTGTTCACACTCATTTGAATTCATCGGAATTTTTTTAATTTTAAATTTAAAGTTATGATAATCAGCAAGTGCAGTTTACCAGATAACTGTTGGTAGTACACGATGGCACAGATGTCGCGCAGCGAATGCACCGTAGCATAGCATTTGCCTCCAAAAGCATTAGGCACAGAGAAAAATTACCAGAAGACTTTTTAGTGATCTTTTTGAGCTTTTCTTTTGGTTTTTTTTTTTCTGCCGTGACTGATGACAGGTTTGAAAGAATGATGTTTTAGATTAGGACGCAGACGGGTGCTCGTGTGGCCGCATTCTTGCTTATCTCAAAAGAATGTAACTCATGCTTTTGCCAGGTAACATTTTTGCACCTTTATTTGATCATAATTCGAATTTTTATTTGTAGATAACCAAAAAATAGCACGTTGCCGGTTCCATATATTCACTGATAAAGTAGTTATCAATGACTGCTTTTTCTAGCGGTGCTGACTAGTAAGGCGGTTTGTATTCTCTAGTATATAATAAAGACAGTATTGATAATATATGTAAAATATTAGGGAAAATTTACGCACATATTAAAAAATAATCGCATGAGCAGGAGTGGTTCGATCCATTAAGTCGTATGTGTTCCATTTCAGAACCATGGCTGGATCCCGTCGGTGTGATGGTTGTGTTTTTGATAAATTAAGAGTAGTGTAAAGGAGCCAGTACAATTTTGACACGAAAAAAAAATTATAGAGAAACCGATTTTCCCTTCGCTGAAATCGTATAATTAAATTTAGTTTGGTAACTACACTGCTTGCTGCTACATCAAGCTAGTGGATCCAATCCGAAAAATATGGCAGTGATATATATATATATATATATA